CCCAAGCTGCTGCCGCTGCAATGGCAACAAAGCTGAGGATGGCACAAAGTAGAGGTCTGTATGGTCAGTCTGGAATTGCTGGTATGGCAGGAAATACCAACCAGATGCATCCAGGTTCGCCGGGCCTGTCTATGCTGGGTGCACTGAACCGAGCAAATATGAGCCAGCGGGGTGCAATGTCACCTATGGGTCCTCCTAAAATACCTGGAACCAACTTTTACCTGAATCCTCAGCAGCAGCAACATCTGCAACAGCACCTTCAGCAGCAACAGCTACAGCAGCAGCAACAACAGCAGCAGCAGCAGCAGCAGCAGCAGCAAATGCAGCAGCAGATAAGCTCTCCATTGCAGCAGCCTCAGGTTGGTTCTCCACCAATGGTGGGTTCCCCAACAGCCATGGTGATGCAGCACCAGCAGATCAGTCCCCAACAGATCGGCCAACAGACTGCAATGAGTCCCCAACAGTTGAGCTCCGGTGCATTGCAGCACATGAATAATAGTGGTAATCCTGCAGCTGCACCGGCGAGTCCGCAGTTGAGCTCCCAGACCCATGGCTCTGTTGGTAGCATCACAAGCTCCCCCATGGAGCAGCTGCAAGGTGCAAATAAGGCCGCTTCAGCCGGCAATGTATGAGTTCGTTCAGATGGGAGTGTACCCATGATTGATTAATCTTCCTACATATTGCATAGAGAGATGGTGTTGGCAGGGATCGACGATTCAACTGTTAACAGCTTCAATAAGCGATTGGAATCTCTTCAAACTGCATGTAAATAGCTTGTCTAGTGTAGCACGGGTTCATGTATGTTGTGAATTCATTGGACGAATTGGGAAGAAACAATGATGCCTGCTCTGTATATTAAATTATGCTTTGTGACACTCCGTTATATTTTGCCTATAAAGATATTGGTTTGAGTTCCAACTTCCATTTCCAATGGTGTTTTCCATCGTGTGGGAAGGGGTGATAACCTATAATATAGGTTTACCTCTTTATAGAGGGGTTGTTGTTTCAACCCTTACCAAACATGTCTAAACATGACAGTAATAGTTGTGTATTATGGTTATCAAACTCCAATTGTTTGGTGTTAAAGAAACATTTGAAGTATCCTTAGAATCGATCCCCTTAAAAAAAGATTTTTTTGTTTTTGAAAAATCAGTTCATATGGTAGTTTAAATATGGTATTATTCAAAGTCTATTTTAAGTTTTTTTTTTATTTCATTTAATTATGTATAATATTTCTATTTCAGTTATCAAAAGCAAATTCTCTCTATTTCATTCCTATTATCCTTATTCACTATATTATTCATTATATATGCATATTATGTTTTTAAGAAAAATATTCTTTGTTGGAGTTCGATGTTCGGAGCCCAAATGTTCGTAAACGGATGTTGCACACCCGTCAAAAGAATCCGACCCGTTTTCTCTCTATATATTTGGTCGCGCCGGCCCTTCCCCCCATTCTCTTCTTGAACAGTAACGTCAGATCGGAAGCGGCGGTGGTAACCGTCGCCGAGGCGGGGTCTGATATCGGGCCTCTGCGTCTCCTGGATCCATCGCGTCAGGAGTTCCTCCCTTGCCTTGGAGGCGCCTTTCTTGGGCGAGCGCGGCCTCTCGTCCCTCCTCGGGCTGCGGAAGGCGTAGGCCCAATGACCTTTCCCCCTCTGCCGCCTCTGGTACTATGCGATCGAGCATACCCCGTTTCTTTAATATTTTCTTCTTTCGATGTCTTCTTTACGGTGTGTTTTCCTTTAGTTTCTTGGATGAACTCTCGTGCATCTCGATGTCTTTGTTTGAACTTGTTGTGGTTGGCGTCCAACAAGCCTTGACGTTCTTGATTTGTTTGTTGGCAACGGTTGACGAGATTTAGGTTTGCGATTAGTTAGTGCACATGGAGATTTGGGTTCGAGATTGGGAGTTTCGTTGCTTGCATGATGATTCCTTTGCTGATTAATAGTGAAAACGATTCTAGTTTAAGATATATGTTTCTTTTTGCCTGTTACGAATGCCAAGCCCTAATTACGGACCCTTTTTTGGTTGGCTTAATCTTGATGGCCGAATATTAGGAGTCGAATGTTAGAATGGATACACAGTCAATCAGATTCAACAACAATTTTTGGATTTCACGTTTATTGTCAATCAAATACACAGTCGAATGATTAATAGTGAAAACGATTCTAGTTTAAGATATATGTTTCTTTTGCCTGTTACGGATGCCAAGCCCTAATATACGGACCCTTTTTTGGTTGGCTTAATCTTGATGGCCGAATATTAGGAGTCGAATGTTAGAATGGATACACAGTCAATCAGATTCAACAACAATTTTTGGATTTCACGTTTATTGTCACCAATGTGGTGATATGTTTATGTGACGTTTAGCAATGAAAACATAAGTATAGTTTCTTTGATCGTGCTTCTTGATATCTTTGTTTGTGGATGAACATATCTCTACCTGTCATTTTACTTTGATGTCATATTTTAATCACCACCTCTTCTCTCCGATAATTTGGTAATAATTTACATCCCATTAGTGGAAATGGAAGAAAACTTGAATGGACTTATTAGTGCTATTATCATTAGTTTAGAATTAGACATTTTGGGTTAGTGATTCATGCTCAACAAATTAATGCATCAGTTACACCCCATTAGATCAGATCATGGCTTGGTAGTGTTCTCCATACAAGATACAATGCTTGTTCCTAACTTTAGATAGCCATGAAATTGTCAAGGACAACAAAATGAAATAAATAATAAATTCCTTACAAGTTTTTTTATAAAAAATCCATATGAAATTTTGCTACTCTTTGCTGTGACAGATGAAAGAGAATTAGAAAAATAAGTAAATGGAACTGCAACAAAAGAGGTAAAATGGCAACATCTTTCCTCATAACTAATCCATCATGATCTTGATAAAAACTTTTATTGGTCAACAAGATCAATTAGATTCATGCCTTTAATGTAGAAAAAGGCATGACAAATGGAGGACCTTCAAGAAATGAGATCCTCAGCACCGATGCAGAAAGATTATTCTATCATGAAGAGTATTCTATCATGAATATTATTACCAAATTGTTGAGAGAAAAAGGTTTTGATTAAAATCTTAAAGCTTGACATCCAAATAAAGGTATGATATCCAGGATTTAAAATAATATCTTTTAAGAAATGCAAAGATAGAATATGAAGACATTCTAAGCGTGTAGATTCTAATCCATGTATATAAGTTAATTGAATAATAATTTTGAAATTATCATGATTGATTTCCTTCCTTACGTTGGAGACCCTTCCTTCGCACTGCTTTATTAGTAGAGGCCCAATCAAGGAAGATACGATGATATGAGAGCGATCTTTAGGAGATATAGGTTCTTGACTTACCCTTTTTTATTATGATTTTTTAGATTTTGGGATTTTAATGTGTAGAAGTTGTTGGATCATGTTTAGTATTATTTCTTATTTTCAGAAATTTTATGAGTTATTTAGATATAAAAAATATGATGTCTATGCGTGATCCTAGCATGAAAAATGTAATTTACAGATTAAAATGGTTTTCTTGTTTTAAAATTCGGGTCTATTGATTTATGAGAAATTTTAATTTATGAAAAATGATTTGCAATCTAATAATTAATATTCTGATTTAGATGTTTAATCATAGTTTTCTGATGTTGGTATATGTTATAGATTGTTATTTTTGTTGATTTTTAATTTTTGTTGAAAAAATATATTCGATTAAATTCAACTTGGTTAGTTAGATGAAATATATATAAAAGGATATGCATACCATGTCTCTTTTCAATATTGGTCAATGTACCTTTGTAAAGACCAATTCATCACCTGAGGTCGAATCCCACTCTTGTTACTTAAATTCTTTACTAAAAATAAAAAAAAGAAAAGAAAGAATGCATACGACTCTTCTAAATATAGAGGCTATTATTTCCATGACTTGAAATGAATTATTATCTTTTTTCAGTCACATTTAGGTCACAAACTGTACGAGGTATGCAAAATCAGGAGACTTTATCTCAACTACTTGTTTACAGCTTGAGGAACTATAACAAAGTTTGTGCTTTATGGTAGATTTCTTACAGCTTTTCCTTTCATTTGTTTCATCTTGCACAACTTGCTCCTCTCTCTTATGCTTTTCGGCAATTCACCTATTCTTCCTTCCTTTGGGGAGTTCTTATCATTTCAGTCAACAGCCAGTGAGAATTAGATCCATGGTGTCAAAAATTTTCTGACTTGACGTTGGCCTTGAGAATGCAAATGTTATGATAGATTTTTGGGTTTTTCTTGACAAAGGGGATTATTATGTCAAGACATGTCTCGTCATGTCAGAAAACATTAATCAGTAGATCTCTCACGGTATTTATCTTCTGGGGGCACATCCCTTCGTTGCAGCTTCTATCAAACAGGTTTATATTCGCCATTTTAGAATTATTATTATTATTATTATTATTTTTGCCTATCCAAGACCAAACTTTGAAGCAACAAAGTGCCTATGGGTATTTCTTACCCCTGGTTTGGTTACTGGCTCCCGTATCTGCGTTGTGGTTGGTGCTCCACTGGGGGCCACATCGGATCTTCGGGCAGTGGGTCTGCGCAGGCTGCGTGACAACCACATCCTGGATTCTGCTCATCGCGGTCTCCCTTATGCGGCTGCCGTGCAACAAAGCGGTGGGAACGACCTTCGATTCTCCTCAACGATCTTGGGTGGGTCAATTCGATTTTCTTTTTAAGACAACACTTTGACGCCCTACTGCCGTCGGCAAGTCTCCGTGATTACCCATTTTTTGAAGGCTACCTCGGTACTCACTTCCATGCTGTAGGCAAGAACACTGATGAGACGAGCTTTGAATCAATTGAGATCAATCCTTCGAGGCGGCCGTAACACCACCCACGGTGGCGGTACCGACGAGCTTCGATCGTTTCCAGGGGGCGATAAAACGCCTGACTAATAATCTCGGATTCTGCTCACCGCCGATGGTGAGAATGAGAAAGCATGTTCGTCCACGTGTTCTAATCAGGTGAGCGATGTTGAGAATAACCTGCACACAGTCATTACAGATTTGCCATGTACCAACAGAATAATGACTACAAAATTTTACAGGCTCCCCACGAAGAAGAACTTGATAGATACCAAAAATACCCATGTAGAGTTGGTTAGGAGGCGGCTAGGACGGCCATCACATCGGACGCCTTCAAAACAATGTAATCAGCACCGTCGGCACCCTTGAACTCGCTTCCTGCATATTTGGAGTACATGACAGTGCTCCCCGGGCTGATCTTCAATGCCCTTCTATTGCCCTCCTGATCCAACGGCCCAGGGCCAACCGCAATCACCTATTATTACATTCAGGGCAAACACACGAGGTAACAGCATTTTTAGTAGGTACGACATGCAGAAAATAATCCCTCCAATAAACTCCCGACATATTTCTACATGCAATAGTCATCAGAAAAAAAAAAATGTAGCATCCTAATGATATGCCTTTCTCTTAAAGTGGAAATCTCACCGTCCCAATGGAAGGCTTGTCTTTTGTGGCCTCAGTCAATAGTAAGCCACCTGCCGTCTTCTCTTCAGCTTCTGCAACCTAAGATTAAAAAAAAAAAAAGAGACATGTTGATCACTAATAGCACAAGGATTTCTGCAAACTAATCTCGATCATAGTTCCGATATTATTCAAATAGCTTCCAACTATCTTCCCGCAAAGATAGGCTTGTACTTCAAGTTTCAAGCAACATTGGCATCAACAATTAGGGGAACCAAACACCTTTACCAGCTTTATCTCACATAAGTAATCCAATCTGAGTGTGTCATGGAGTGAACCTCTCATGTGAACCTCTCATAAGTAATCCAATCTAAGTTAAGCAGTCATTTCAAGATGCTGCATTGGGAAAGAGGGGAAAGAGAGGAAGGGTTTTTTTTTTTTTGAAGTATACCATGGTCGGGATTGGACTGCAAGCAAAAACTGTAACCACCAGAAGTTAGTCTTGCAACAAACCTTGATTAGAACTCGGTCGTTAAGTGGCTTGAGGTCCTTAATATCATCAGTATCAAGAATACCCATGATGTCATCTTCCTTCAACAAAAGATGCTTAGAACCATTGAATTCAAGCTCTGTTCCTGCATACTTTGAGTAGATGACCTGTTTACCAACCTACAACCAAATAAACACTGGGCGTCATCAAACCTGAGGAACAAGATGGTATGCTAAAGACAAATTATAGGTACGAGGAAAGATCAGGTATCTGATTACACTATTTTAACTAGTAAAACAACAAACTAACACCCTCAAGTATCCAACGACAACGATAAACTATCGAGAAACTAGTGTAAATGAACTTAGATAAAAGAAACATATACAAGTCGAAGCAAGATAGACTGTCGAATAATACAAAATTTAATCTTTTAATCTTGTAATATGGGCCCTTGTTTTCCAAATCCAGATTGTGAATACACAGAATGCAAATGCATTCGTGTAAAAATATCACTCTTTCTAAAAGTCTAATGTTGGAGACCTCTGAGTGGAAAATCTTCCAAGAAGACACGAGAACTAGTACAACATCAAGAACAGGATATTTTTGTTACTAAGATGTACATTGCGACTCTTGCCGAAACTCACAGGAATGGCTACATACAATGGCCTTGAGTGAAATGGAAACAACAAATTGTCAAGCGAAAGAGATACCTCGACACTGATGTTTATTTCCTTCTTCCCAATTGTTTTGCCTTCTCCAACGGCAACAATTTCACCCCCTTGAGGTTTTGACTGGGCAGTCGTTGGAAGCAGTATGCCTCCACTGGTTTTCTCCTCTGACGACTTGATCTTAACTAGCACCCTATCACCCAATGGCTTGATGGATGAATACTGCAACAACCATGAAATCCAATGAAGGGTCTTAAAGAGTAAAAAGCATATCATTCGTTCACAAAAGGTGCATTTAGTCCTGCTTGATGACTTATCAGTTCAGAGACATAAATCAACAAGAATGCGAAGGCTTGAAAAGGGCAGCTAATGCACCTGCAAGGCGCTTACCACCTGAATTGCATATGAGAAGCATATAGCAAATGGCATTTTGTGTGGTGGACAAAGACATGGACACAAATACTTTAGAGATCGCATATGAGGTTTGCATGCAAACCAATCCAGTGTCCAATATTCCGAAAAAAAGTGCTCCCATTAACTTCCAGAAACAAGAAGATAAGAAATACAGAGAGACCTACAAAATTTATAACCATACTCTCTTCAACTTTAGTAAGTGAAATAATAATCAAAAAGATACTGAGGTTAACTTATATTGGTAACCTGCAATCGATACAACCACAATAATTGATTCCCAGGATTGTCAGCCTGGTGATGGCAATAACAAAGGACTAAGTTCTTACGAATATTAACACCTCATCAATTTTAAAAGACAACAGATGGCTAAAAGTTAGAAAAAAGCAACAGAATTGACTGACGGTTGAGTGGCATTACTGAATTGACTTCCCCCGGGAACACTACAGTACACGGGGAGAATGATGATGGATTATCGATAAGCAAGAGGCTCCTACAAAATTCAATATTTGTCGGTCTTACCCTACAAACATAGAGATTTTTTGATGTGATTTGAACCCTGATTACCTAAGACACAAGGAGAAACTTTACGGTTGTACCAAGTATAGATTTTCCTTCATGGATTAAGGAAAATGTGCCAAAGCTCAATTCGCCTTTGCCATTCCATAAGTATCTTTCTCCTTGCATATTGCAAGAATCTCTATGATCAAAATGAATTAGAAACAGAACATGTGACGGAAGGTTTTCCTTCATCATCAAGCCCATGCTACACCATAAGGAAGATATTTCTCATATGATACACAATGATCCCCAGAATTGGTGTTCTTAAGCAAGACAAATGTGGCCCCTACATTATGAGACGTACCATAAAAACAATAACATTTGAAATTTCTTAAAAGACAAGTAATATATTCATGAACAAACAAACCTTCCAATACTAACTACCATAGGGAGATCCAAATAAAGACCAATTGCAATCTCTGATGCCAGCTCAGTCGTCATTAAGAGTCACCGTTCATCTAAATGCCCAACAACCCCACCCAAACGCCAGAACCTAAAAGATCAGATTTTGTATACCTTGGGAGCGATAACAGTGGCAGCCTTGACAACGAGGGCAGGAAGGCTCCTCCGCTTGAGCCCCAAACCAAGGGTTCCAACCGAAGAAGAAGAAGAAGAATAAGAGGAGGAGGTCCGGGTGGTCGGTGGAGCGAGGCGAAGGCCTTCGAAAGAAGGTAAGCTCCTGGCTCCTACTCCGCATCCGAATGGCTGCAGCGCCGCCATCAGTCCACCGACAAATGCCCACCAGAAAGCAACCTGAAGCAAGCGAAACAAGATTTAAAAAAAGAAGAAAAAAAAATCAAAACCCTTCCAACAATACTCTTCTAGCGAATGAAAAAGCAGTAAGCGAAGAAATCGAATTAAACCATGAAAAAGAGAAGGAATCGAAACCTTGAAAGAATTTTCAACAAAGAAAGCCAAAAAAGAATCTCAGAACATACGATCGTAGAGGGCGGCGAGAGGAGCGGGAGAGCGAAACCCTAGAACGAGCGAGCGGGGAGCCGGCGGTGTTTTATCGGAGAAGCAAAGATTGTGTGTGGTATGGACTGAGGGTCATGTAACAAAACGGTTCCTTCACCGAAGAGGGGAGCGACCGACCGCGGAGGGGTCGGGCTGTGTGTGTCTTGTAATGCGACACACAAGTTCCGCCCCGGTACCAAGCAACGCACGCGATCGAGTCTATGAGAGGATTCTAGAACGTGGTAGCCACATCAAATAATGTTTTCAGAAGTAAATAAAAATATATTTAAAAAAAAGCGATTTATTTTTCCGACACCATAATATTCATTTGATTCATGCATTCCATAATTGCATATAATAATAAATGCATCAGAGAACTCAGAGTCAGCAATAACACAGAAGAAGCATTGAATCAAATTTAACATATGCGTCGTACCTAATCCTTCGTCTCCTCGTCGTGGGAAGCTTCGACACAATAATACTCACACGCATGTTAACGCAATCGTCGAACCGACGGAGTGGGTATATTAAAAAAGAAGAGATTGCCTTCCCAAAGTGTGCCCCACCAGAAATCCAACGAAACAACTAGAACGATGTATAAGAAGACAATATAGAACGCAAGAATCCCAGGAAGTCTTATCATGACTTCACCAACAACATTCATGTGTACATAATTTTGCATTGATACAATCATAAAGGCAGATGATATGGGCGGCACAAACCAGATCGAGAAATAATTTAAGCCAGAGTACAGGAGAAAATTTTAAGAACCATAAAACAGAAAAGCTTCAAGATGCTCAGTGACTCGTGACAAGTATTGGAGACCACCGATTGCTAGTAATACATGAACTGCTGTGCTGCATTAACGTTTTGAAACCCACCGTCGTAGATGGCCTGGCTGGCACCTGCGCCCATCCCCATTGCCGCTTGCTTCAGAGCTTGCTGACTCTGGGCATACATCAACGCCTCGCTGGCAGTCATCTTGCCCAACAATGAAGCACGATCATAACTTAAGAGGTCTGTTGCAGTGAGTCCAGAGAATGAAGCAGAGGCAGGCGGGGGCAGTGGCGTAGAGGCAGTTCCTGGTGGAGTTGGTTTGCTGCCCCAAGAACACTGAAACACAAACCGAAAAATGCACTAGATATACAGTAGAAATATAGAACCTACTTTGTGTATAGTAGTGGTAAATCTACACAAAATGAATGCAGCACAAAGAAACTACAAGGAAAAGTTTCACTTCAATTATATGTCACTTCAATGACATAAGTAGAACGCGACTTCTAATAGTCATAAAAGAGGTTGAATCCATAGAACAACAGCAACCAAAATTACAGCATCAACAGTTAACTTCTTTGAGGCGGCAAGTGAAAGTTTCTATTATTGCATGTGTACCAATTGCTTGTAGATTTGTTGATGTATGAGACCATTGAGCCTACAAAGCACAAACACCTCAATGTATGCCATGTCCATGTCGAACACCCACACATTGTCAGATACTTGAAAACACATTAGGACGCTTGTATCTGCAGTTAAACATGTTAGCATATGATATAAATGGACTGTATCATCCATTGAAGACCTCAAGACATCAAATTATGGGAATATGTATGTACATGGGCCACTCTTCTGCACACTAAAATTTTGTATCCATGACTGGAAAATTCTTGTAAACATTTACAATTAAGGTGATTGGTAATCGTCTTTGAATAAATATACATATGATACCGATAGGTTGCTTTAATTTCTACAAAGTATAAAATAATAGCATATGAAACATATACATATATTTATTGTCATGTTCATGCCATCTTCTCTCCTAGTTTTTATAATATTTGCAATAGTATATGTTCCATGTTCCATGGAGGAATGGTGAACTTCCAACTCGAACTGGAATTCAGAGAAGCAGTAAGTAGCAAATTTTTCTTCATTCATACAAATAATAGTTCAAGTTTCAAAAAGAACTCAAAACTCAAAGATACCTCAGAAAATATGATGAGCATAACTCAAAATATTATAAATAACAACATCCATTTAGCACATTATAGCTTCCAGTAGATAAAGTGCAATGTAAATCTTACAAACATTAAGATCAAAATCAACATTCATAGACTAAACAAGATATGCGCAAAAAAAAAAAAGGTAAACTGAATAAAATACAAATTACATAATATCTAGTAAAAATAGAAGAGTAGACCCAGTTGAGGACTTCTGTAACTTGGAAAAAATAGGAGTGGTCTAGGTTTTCACCGAGATGCAAGAGAATTTTTGCCACTCGTTTATAGTATAATTTAATAACTCATAATCACACTAGTTGATTTGGCCAACTTTTACAACTTTGTTGTATCCAATCTCATTGTGTCTCATCACTGCTCTAGCAGAAGTTCTCCAGCCCATGAGTGTTAATTAATCTAGGAGTGAGGATATATCTGTCAAGTGCTATCCCTGCCATTCAAGGGATCTTGACACAGTTTACTGCAGACCAAGCTAGATGCCTGTATTGGGTTCTTCTCCTAAACGAAACTAAGTAAGAAAATTGCTCAGGTTTGCAGAAGAAGATTAACGCAGCTTCTCTCAACCAAAGCTTGATTCAAACTAAAATAAACAATGAAAACTAGTCTTGCCAAACCAACCAAACCAATATGTCGAACAGAAGAAACAACAATTATTACAACTTAATGTCAAAATTTTGAAACATTCAAGGTCCCGATGCTAGCAACATCATATATATATATATATATATATATATATATATATATATATATGAGCAAAACTTTAAATCTCATAATGGGGGGTCAGTTTTAGTAGACCTATCAAACCATTATGATAACAGTCTACTAGATGGCACACCTAGATGAACAAGATAATCAGAAGTTCAAAACATTCAAAAATGAATGTTCCACTGGAATAGAGCTATATACGTTGATGCTACTACTTGGTCAGGCCAGTAAATACATACACAACCAACATTTAAAATCTAATTTCAGAGTAAATTAAACCAGATAATTCAACTACCTTGATTGGCTTTCCACAAAGAATTCGACCATTCCCCATTTGGATAGCCAAAGCAGCTTCAGAATGATTACCGTATCTCACAAAACCAAATCCCTTGTCACGTTGTATGCGGACTTCTTCTATCACTCCAGCACCAAGGGAATGGAAATGGCGGTGGAGATCAAGTTGAGTAACCTGCATTTTTACACTTTGATGACTCAGAACAGAAAAGATAACCTCCCCAAAAGTAAGACCACAAAAACAATGATATATGCAACTTATAAAGCCAATTAAGATGTGATCAAACAAATACGACAAGCTCTCAACATTGACTAAACACATTAAAACAAAGTGCAACGATATCCATCAATAAATCAGTATAAGCTTTGTAACATGCTTCATATCAAAAAAGATACTAAAACTGGAACATGTAAAACAGATAATGGAAAGGGACAAGTGATCTCTGTTCATGCAACAACAACAAGAAAGGTAGAGAGAGAGAGAGAGAGAGAGAGAGAAAGAGAGAGAGAGACGCTTGCCTCGTGAGCAAGGTTACCCACATAGACAGTTGTGAATTGTGGGTTACTCTCTGGACCATCATCGTTTGTGTTCTCTTGCCCATCTTCTACATAAAAGAAATAATTTAGTACGTAAAAATTCAAATGTCATGCTAGATTCCAGCATATGCTTCTTAATTACTCAGCTAAACAATGATCATATAACTAAAATTCTCAGACAGGTAATTATCATTAACTTGAAAAGAAAAAGTGGCTTCTTGTTTTACAAAGTATAAGATGTCTCATATGGACATAAAACAAAGAAGTTACAACTGAACAAACAACTAATATTTAATAGACTAGAAAACAAAGATTAGGATGCATTTGTCCACAATAGGTATATAATGTTGATACCCATTATCAAACAATAAGATATCATTCAAATGCAATTGCACCAGTTCAAAAGTGTCACCAACCAGCAGATGCATTTGCTAGATCCACCACACTCTTGGAATCTGAATTTTGTTTGTCTTCACTAGCATTAGCTCCCTTGGTAGCCCAGTTACAACGGATCTGCCGACTGCCAAGCCACTTGCCTACACAATGTCAGGATAATACTGTTCAGAACAAGTTTTCAACTTTAGAACTAGAACTTGAAGACAGATGACGATCACAAGGTTAAATTATAGTGCTCTTATTTAAGAAGCACATGGTTAAATGCACATCGAATAGTTTTGCCTCATTAATCTAAAGACCACATGTATCATGAGCAATGAGCATCAGCTACAAGCTTCAAGTTGCTGAATTTTTAGCAACCAGTAGACATAAGCCTGACCATCAAGCCAGCAGCCTAAGGCAACTTCATCAATACCTTACTAAAAGTGTAATGCTAGAAATAACCAAAGACCAACATACCAGTTAAGTCATTTATCGCACTTTGAGCATCCTGCCAAAGAAATAGTCAGAAACAAAAAGTGGACAAGAATTGTACACCGGAAACCCTAAATCTGATTATCAACTGGTCAACTGACCTGTTGATTCCTGAAAGAAACAAAACCAAAGCCTCTTGAACGCCCAGTTTTTTGGTCCCACATGACCCTCGCATCTCTATAAAAAGACACCGGTCTAGGTGAAATCAAAGATATAGAAACACTTTTTCCGAATAAACATCAGGGAGGAGGTAACTCACTAATTATCTCCATATATACACCACAAAGATCATCAAAATAAATCAAAATAAACTAATTATCTCCATATATTCAGACACAATGCACGATATAAAACAAATACGTCATGAAGGCTTACGAGCAGCTTGGATACACAGAAAAGCAGGCAAATAAGGTGGCATCTGTAACTTCAGGGCTAAGATCACCAACAAAGATGTTGTAATGGCCTGTAAAGATGCCAAATAACAAATCATCCAGAAGTCAGTGACTTCCATATCTGCATTGGAACATAATCTTTGTAAAGGAAATGATCTGAAATTGAACCTGATGTGTCCTCTCTTTGCCCACTGGCATATGCCCAATTAACTTTAATGGGTTGGCCAAACCTGCATACTCACATGGTATAGTCATGGCAAACCCTACTAAAAAAATGACAGACAATAAAACTAAATTATCCAACTCACAGCTGCCTCCCATTCAGTGCTATGATTGCAAGTGCAGCTGATCGGCGGTCATAATAATCAACAAAGCCAAAGGATGACTGTAAAATCAAAACAAAATGACAAAAGTAAATCACACTTCAACTTTAACTTGATAGAACATGAATTCAAAGTGTACTGTAATGCACAGAACACATTATGCAATGTCATAAAGGAGGTATCATGCTAGTGTAACAATCATGCAAGCCAGACCATATTGCACTGCACATGCAATAGCCACACTTCAATATCAATGTATACACTTTAAAGGCTTGTGGCATCTGATCATATCATGCCTTTAAGTGACAGGCATGGGCACAATATGAATGGCAATTCCAAGTGGGTAGTATCAAGCAAATAGCTTGTTACATACGAAGTTGTCAAACCCAGGTACTAACATCTCTTGCAGCTTAAGTGATGCAGGAGCAATTTGGTTTATATTTTATTTGAATAAATTTTATTAGTAGAGATATTTTGCATATGTCATAAGTTGTCAAATGACAACATCTACTCAAGGCAAAGAAAAAGGAAACAAATGCAGAAAAGAGTGTAAGAAATCAAATTCGTTATTGATTGAAGATTGCAAATCTTGATGGAAGATTTTAAAGATTCATCTCTACGAATATGGAAGTCTATCAATTAATTTTTCTTATTTCTGTAATCTTTTTTTTTTATTCAACTTGAGCATATAAAAAGGGGCTAGAACATTGTAATGCATGAATTAGAGATTCAATGAATCGTATTTTTGTCCCACCTGGTGTGTGAGCAATGTGATGCCACAATTATGTTTCCGATGATATGATTCCATCATCCACATGTCATATGTGCAAAGATGCGAAGCCTTCATCTTGGGAGTTCACTCTTTGAGCCAGTGCGAGTCTAGTAGTTATCCATTTGTTTTCCCACTATTTTTCAGTTATTATCTTTCTATTCTTCTCTTTTGGTTCCTCTATTATCAATAAAAAAATCCATTACTACTCGTCCTACATCACTAAGCACCTGGTCTCATGCCTCTGATGCAAGGCACACTTAAAATTACAATCAATTTTAATATAACTGCATTAAATTCAGTGCTGCTGAAAAAATTGAAGCTACTTATGCAATATTTCTCAATTTGCATGCTGTCATACATATGATGGTATAATCTTGAAGGAATTTGATAGCCTGAAGCAAACAATTCCCAGCACTACAGCTATTGGAACTACTTGCATTGTAGGCCACATAATTGGTTGCCACAACGAAGGTGAAGTGGGATACTTAGCATACAACATTAGCAAAACAAATCCTGAAGTTCAAACCAGGACAACAGTTATAGAGCAAGTAACAAACATCACACAGCCAGAACTAGAACTGGTCATCCAGAATAAAGGCCAAAGGGTTGAATCACAAGAGCATTTTTTTTCCAACAAAGAAGATTTTAGCAATCACTGTTCATAAGATGGCTCAGGAGAAATTTCTCATAGTAGTTTGCAGCATAATACCATCATTTCATGATTAATTAGTGCATATTGCTTCTTCCAAGTGTTGAGGGGTACTTTGATACCAACACGACAACAATAATGCGTAATCCAACCATTATTCTAAAATACAAAAACTAGAGTATTACGAATCAAATATCCAAGTGCTTCCACAACAGAACTGTGTGGAAATAAGAAAGGAAACTGACCTTCTCTTTCCTAATGAGCTTGCATCCTTCAACAAGGCCCGTACTTTGGAAAACCTCTTGAAGAAGAGCCTCAGTAACCTGAAGATGAACATTGCCTACATACCTGCATTTATACATAGAGAACAATGCATGAAAAAAATTATATTATAATCATCATTTAAAGCTAAAAACTGTGAAAACACATTCTCAACATCCTCAGTGAACATTAATGATTGCAGAGATTCAAGAATTCTTGCAGTCTAATTCGCATATTATTGTAAAAACACCCTTTCAGTAGGAAGCAAGGTTTTCTTTCCGAAAGATGACTGAAAAAAAGAATGAAATAAAATGAGTCTTGCAGTTGCAAAAAGTGCCATCTATTGGAGAAGGTACAAATAACAATGATTATAAAATCTACAAAAACCAGCATCACACTTGCAAAAGAAAAAGTATTTAAACAACGAACAAGCAATAAGACAGAACCCCCCAATACACATTGTAGAAAGAGAATGTATATAATGATGCAGGAAATGAAAAGCAAAGCAAATGAAGCAAATGTTCTAACAATACTCACACACTGCGACATGTGCTTGGATCAAATCCAGGAGGCAGATTCCCACTTAGGACAGGCTCTATCTGCAAAATAGAAGTGTGAATAAACTGTGTAGACAAACCAAAAGAAAAGAACATAAAAGCCCATAGATGCTAAGAAAGAGTTCTTATATATAT